TACACTTGTGACAAATTTACCCTCATTTTCCGTTAAACTTTACTATCAAATTACTTTGTTAAATGACATGTGACAGTTGACTGATGTGTCAGTTTATGTTTTACCCTAAGTTTGTCACAGATGTACTAATTTGTGATTTTTGTGATATTAATCCAATTTAACGGAAAATAACGGAAGATAAATTTATCACAAATGTACCAGTTTGGAGTTTGTAGTGGTCAAAATATTAATTTGGAGTAAATTTGTCACAGGTGTATCAGTTTAAGATTTTTTGTGATTAAAAAATTAGTTTGGAATAAAATTATTACAGATGTACTAGTTTGAAATTTTTCGTAATATTAACTCAAAATAAAAGTCAAGAAGTTTATCTAAAAACCTGAGGTAGTACTGTAAAGGGCATTACATCCTGTGGATCACAACAGTGGATTTGGAACACAACAGATGGTACGGTTCAAGATGAAACATGGACATCATTTTTCTATTTTGTAAGTACTGATCGTCCACGTGCAAGTATCGACAGTGGCTGGGCTGCTGAATTTTTCTCAGAGATGCTAATCGCAGAGGGGCCAAGTTATTAAGTCATGTTTTTTCGGATAGTGTTCTCTTTCCTATTTCTTGGTTGTATGAGCAAGTCATTAAGTCCTGTTACTACTCCAAGTACAGAAGTATAGGGCTAGATTTTCACAAGTGGGAACCTTTTATATCTTGAGATAATGACACAAACAGTCCCTGAACTTTTACTCAATGTGTAATTTGGTCCATGAATTTTTAATTTGTTCAATATAATCCCTAAACTTTAACCCAATGTTCAATGTGGTCATTGAACTTTTGGTATATATTCAATTTAGTCCATGAACTATATGAAAATGTACAATATAGTCCCTGAACTTGAATTAATGGAAGGACTACATTGAACATTTTTATAAAGTTCAGGGATTATATTGAACATGCATCAAAAGTTCAAGGATTACATTGAACAAATTAAAAGTTCAGGGACTATATTGAATATTAGTTTAAAGTTCAGGAACTACATTGAACAAATTAAAAGTTTAGGGATCAAATTATATATTGAGTTAAAGTTCAGATACTGTTTATGTCATTTTCCCTTATATCTTTGGTAAACTTATAATGGGACAATTAAATTAAGCTTGCACTATTTTCACCTCTTATAACTTTAGACACATCCTAAAATTTAAATGGCTCAAAATCGCTCACTGGGACCTCATTAATGGTAAGATTGGTGAAAGAGAAAAGATATACTGTTAACGTAAATGAATCAATTTAATGATTTTTATTGAAAATTTTATAAATTGTTGCTTCTTCTTTTGTTCAAATCAAAGAAGCTTGCATGTTCGGATCTTTTTACAACAACCATCTAAGATTAAGTATTTTAATAAATTTAGGAATAAGTGTACTAGAAGTCCTTCTAGACTTTTCACGAATTTCCGCTGAATGGTTTGTTCACCTTCTACAAATAGGTTTTTCTAAGCAAATTCACGTTTTCATGCTCTATAAGTTGTTCACATTCTATTGGTCTATCCAAGCTTTAACGAACCTCAATGTACAGTTGGTCACCTTTGACAAAGGTCCTTCCAGACTAAGACACATCTTCCATAAATGTAACGACCCGGTCCGACGAGGGCGGTGAGTGGTCGCCGGGGCCAGAGGGCCTGGACAAGGAGCGGCTCCTGGCAGGCTTCTAGGATGGCAAGGGGGGCATGTCTCTTGTCCCACATCGCTTAGGGGGGAGTCCTGGGCTAGTTTATAAAGTTTGGGTTCTCTATTCTGTGTAACGCGTTTCACATGGGTTTGCTTCCGCTGCGCATGATGAGAACAAAGCCTTGAGGGGAAGGGCTAGAGAGCGCCCCAAAGAGGACAATATTGGGCTTGGGGGAGGAACGGCCAGAGAGCGCCTCTACCCAAGACAACGCGTTTTAAAACCGTGAGGGTCAGTGGGCCCAAAGCAGACAATATTACACAGTGTAGACCCCGGGTCCTTACAAATGGTATCAGAGCCGACTCCCGACCGCGTGTGGGGCCACAGCGAGGACCCTGTGCTCGAAGGAGGGGAGAATGTAACCTGGCAGGCTTCTAAGATGGCAAGAGAGTGTATGTCTCTTGTCCTACATCGCTTAGGGGAGAGTCCTGGGCTAGTTTATAAGGCTTGGGTTCTCTACTCTGTGTAACGCGTTTCACATGGGCTTGCTTCCGCTGCGCATGATGAGAACAAAGCCTTGAGGGGAAGGGCCAAAGAGCGCCCCAAAGAGGACAATATTGGGCTTGGGGGAGGAAGGGCCAGAGAGCGCCTCTATCCAAGACAACGCGTTTTAAAGCCGCGAGAGTCAGTGGGCCCAAAGCGGACAATATTACACAGTGTAGACCCCGGGTCCTTACACAATAGCTTGTTCTCCTTCAATAGAGCCATTCCATGCTGTTAGACGTCCTATTGACGACACTATCTGCATACGACACGGGTATAGACAAGTTGTTTTACATATTTAAATACACATATCAATAGCCCTTGATAATTTTGTCATATTCAAAAACATCATAGGGCTTTTCTCGATAATTTCTCATTTGGTTGCTTAATTAGTGCTCACCGGCATTATTCAGTTAAAACCCGTATAGTAAATATACATACTTCTTCGAACCCTAAGGAGTAGAATTAAAACCTAATCTGATCAATAGATGTTCACGAAAGTAAATAATAATCTAACATGTTTATCAGTTGTTGAAGGGGCTGGTGGCTAGTTTATAACTCAGGTTACCAAACAAGTTTAAACCCAATAATCACGCAACACGTATCAAAGCTCGAGACCTCTCTCATCCCAAAAACTAACGTAAAAGGTGAGGTTTTTTCTCATACTTATGAACTAACTATCAGTTCATTTCATAACTGATGTGAGATAACATCAATAAAAATAACCATCATTTCAAGCTTGAATTCTTATTTTATTGCTAGATTATAGTATTGTACGATGGTTGATAGCAATTTGTTGTAATCTTATTTTGTATGATTCTTTAGGTTCTCTCATATGAGAATACAATGCAAAAGTTTTGAATACACCATCATGTTTACAAATTTAATACGATTCATTATGTATTTAATATTAGATATTTGTTGAAAAAGAAAGTACTACGGCGGCTTGCAGATGCCTGACAGTTTTTTTTGGTCGAAGTCTGACAGAGTTAATGAGCTGGGTTTATGATCATTTCATGTCAAAACTCATAAGAAAACATAGGAAGAATTTGGGAAATAACAAAAAACGAACGGGATAAGTTTGGAAAGAGGTCAAAAGTCCCAAACCTGTCTTGTTTTCCATGCCTAATCTCCTATGCACATGATAACCATGAACAAAGAAAGGTGCTATCTCAGCTATAAGGAGAGAGATTTTAAGACCAAGAGTGGCAGCATTTACTTTGATTCTGATAAGCACAAACAGTCTATATCCTTTTACACATGGCAAAGAGAAATACTATATCCTTAACTTCGAATCAAAAGTTATGGCAAGAAAAATATGATATTTTGCGTGTTTTGGCAAATTTATGAAGTCCCATGACTCGTCGTTGCTAAGTCAAACATTACATAATGTCTAAGATAATAAAGCTCATGAAAACTCAACTTGTCATGGATTTATCCTATTTACATGCTGAAGAACAATTATTATGAACACGGCCGCCCTCAGTCTCTTTCTTCTTCTTCTTTTTATAATTTTCAAAGGGGAGACGCATGATTCTTGAATTATAAAAGCGCTGGAATGATTGCAACCCTTTTCTCAAACAACAATCATGGGGCTCAATAGTTCCCCCATGAATAGTTAAAAGTAAGGAACAAAAGGTGACCAAAAGAGATTAATTACAAAAAGGAATCGCTTTCCTTCGCTTTTTCACTTGGGTCCTCAACCTCAACAGAAACTTGTAATGAAATCGAAACCCAGAAAATAAAACGAAAAGAATTAAACAGAAGCTGCAATCAGAGTTCAAGCCAATTAGCACGATGGCTCATTCCCCAAAGAACGAACCCGATGCTCTCTCCCTCTCTCTGTCTCTCACTCATATCCATTCAAAACTTTGACAGTCTCTCATTCAATACACTTTCAAACCATCACTTTTCCAGACACAACCGGATCGCAACCACACTGAAACTAATTATTGCTAGAGAGAGAGAGGAAGAGGCTACATAAACTAGATAGGTTAAAGGTGTAAAGCCAGAGGCACCAGATGTACTAGTCTGCTTGTTCATAGATAGACATGATCAGTTGCTTATAAGGACCAGACAGATAGAGAGAGAAAGAGAGAGAGTTCTGATTCTGCATACATATGTATACTGCAGACGAAGAGCATTGAAGAACTAAAAGATGTGGTCTAGTGTAGCTACAGACATGCTTTAGTCAAGTCCAAAAAAATTAAAAATCTCATCACAGATTCCAAAGCGATCGCAAAGAGGGCCGAATTAGAGATCTACCAGTCTTCATCTTCAAAAGGGAATTATGAAAAAGGAGAGCGGTGCATTGCAATTGCATGCATGACCATTGACTCCTGTGTTTTGGTCCCATAATGTCATGTAAAGTGAAACATTATGTTCCATTTGCAATAGGACTATAGGTTAATAACTAATCAGTAAATAGTGGTACAGTTCTTGAATTTGAAACTATCCGTTCATTGTTCGACTGTTGTCCTCTAACTAGATAGTAGATTTTACTGTACCAATATAATATTGAATGTACACGAAAATCTTGTGTATCAATTCTTGAACTTTTTCAAGAAAACCTAACACAGACTATAATCCATTTGAATGCCCGTTTCATATATATATATTAGCACACTTAAAATTTGTTGAGATGAGAGCACCTGTCAAGAGATCAGTCAGATGCTCAAGTAGACATAAGAGACTAATATTCCAATCGAAAGGAGATATTGCCCATTTCCACTTGGTAAATCATACTGAGAAGAAGAATAAAACGGAAATTATCGTTACTTATAGAAGCAAGCAACTCAAGCATAAACGAAGGAAAAAAGCTATATAATATAACCATGAACCTCTACACAGCTTCGGTTACAAATTAGAGAACACTAAAACCTAATGATTAGCATCTTATCAAATACACACAGTTAATACAACAGGAAATATTCAAAAGCATGCTATTTCTGTTTTTCTTTTTTCTTTTTTGGCTACTGTTACATGTGGATTTCGTTTGAACCCAACAAGTTAAACACAAGAACAGACATGTAAAACCCAACAGCAACATTCGGGGAGAGATTAAATGATTCTAATTAATTTCTTTGTTTCCCAAGCTATCTTTTTTAGCTTTTAAATTGTGAAACCCTTGAAAGACTTACTCTTTTTTTTAATATTCTGTGTCTCTCTAACATCCGCAGCTAGGGCAAAGCAGTGTATTGAAACGCTTGACCCGATCCTTTGCTGTTCCAGTTGCCGGTATTGTTGTTGTCGTTCCCGTTACTGCTGCTGTTGGTCGGGCTCGGCGTTGTAACTGATGCGTACGCGTTCCCGAAGAACCACTCCGTCACTGAGGAGCCTTCCTTTCTCGAGCTACCTGTAGCGTCCAGATTCTGGAACAAGACAGGCTGTCGCAAGTTCTGCGGCTGATCCTCGAAAGGTGAGGTGGCGACGTTGATTGACGAGGCGACATCGCCGCCGTTGTTGGCCTTGGGATTATGGTTGTTGTTATTGTCTCCGCCGAACAGCATAGCCAGCCTCTGCTGCTGCAGCTTCCAGTGCAGATCCTGGTTGATCGAGCTCAGCGACTCGATGGAGGATGCAAGATTGGTATCAACCTTCATCGAACCGCCTGACTCCTGAAGTGCACCGGATGTAGCAAACCCCGGAGCAGCCGTGATGAAGGGAGGGAGCGCGTGATAATTGTTGAACCCAAGAAGAGAGCCGCTGGGACCCGCCATCGGGTCTAGAGAGAAACAGGTGGTAGCGCTGTTAGTAGCGGCGGCGGCGGCCGTTTCGATGGCAGATGCATCTGAAAACGAAGAGAACTGGCCGTAAATTCCAGGGGCTGGAGGGTTGTGATTCTGAACCGCCTTAGAGAAATTAGAAAGCCCGCCGAGCTGGAAATCCACGGCCGGGGACAAGCCTTGGAAGAGCTTGAAGCCGCCGAGCTCCGGGTGGGGTGGGGCCGCCGGCACGGAGTAGTACTCCTTAGGGTCGCCCGCCCCGCCGGGGAAGAGCCTGGACGAGGCGGAGGAGGGCTTAAGCTTCTTGTTCTTGCGGCAGCCGCCGCCGATCGGGACGTTGCGGAGGGCGCCGCCCTTGGTCCAGTAGCGGCGGCAGGTCTTGCAGAAGTGGCGGGGCTGGGTGAGGCTGTAGTTGTTGTAGTAGCAGAACTTGGTGTTGGACGACTCGCACCTCGGGCACTTTAGGGCTTGCTCCGGCGGCTTCCCGGATGACGGGGACGACGCTGCCTTGCGCGAGACGGATCCCGGGGCGGTCTCGTCCTTCTCCGCCATCGGATGTGGCTTCGGCGGAGCGGTATCCGGTGGAGCCATTTAGTTCTGTAGAGGGAGAGTGCGGGAGGGAGAGAGAGAGACAATCTAGTTAAGGTGGATGAAGGGTGTATTGGGTTTCCCTTGGGAGAGGGAAAGAGGGAGGGAATTGAATGGTTTCATGGATGGAGTTAGTGAGAAATGAGTAGAGAAGGAGAAGGAGGAGGAGGAGGAGGAGGAGGAGGATGAGGAAGAAGATGAGCTCCTGTGAACTTCATCAAAGAGAGGGTTGTCCCCTTGGTGGCATATGATTAGAGCGAGACAAGAAATATATAAATATATAAATATGATTTTATAAATATATATAGGACAAATTAAGGAAAAGCAGGGTGATCGATCTGAAACTGATTTGGCAGTGTAAAGGGATCTGCGACTAGCTTTAATAATTGGGATGCATGGACAAATTTTTAAACCATAGTGAGACAAAAAGTGAAGGTGATCTAATTCGGATTAGAGCATTTCTCTCTTCTTCTTTTTTTCGATTTCATCTATTGCGTCCTTCTATGGTGAGGTGTCATTTACTTCAAGTAAGAGGGCAAAAACTTATTTCTAGTAAAATAAGACCTAATTTAATAGTAACTTTCTATTTTTCAAACGGAAAATGAAATTACTTCGTGTAGTAAAATGTAGTTATAATCGGTAACATCATCTATTTTGTGGTATACCACATTATATCCCTACTAAAGTGAGTCTATTTATCGGTAAAATTATTTGTTCGCAATAAATTTTGCTCATTCATGGTTAATCCTGTAAAAATCATATGTTCGTAATATATTTTATTTGTTTGATTTACCACTGCTTACCGTAAATGTAACCAATTCTTGGTAAATACAAGTTGGTAGGTAAATACAAGTTGTTCATGGTAAATACATGGCAACTGCAATTTTTTTTTTATAAAAGCATGTTCTTTTTGGTAAATGCAACATGATCTTGGTAAATACTAATTGTTCTTCATAAATATAGGCGTTTGTTTGTGGTAAAAACTACTTGTTTTTATATATATGCGAAAAGATTTATCTTGAACGAATAGAATTTATCAAATATGATTTACCAACGGACAAATAAAGTTTACCACTACTTGTCGTAAACATCACTTGTTGTCGGTAAATGCAAACTATTGTCAATAAATGCAAGTTATTCTAGGTATATAGAAGTTGCTCTTGGTAAATACAAAATATTCGGGGCAAGTGCAAGTTTTTACAAAAGTAGGTTCAATGGTAAATGCCTCTTGAGTTTGGTAAATACTAGTTGTTCTTCATGAACATAAGTTGCTTCTGCACAAAAAAATTACTTATTCTTGACAAATTAACCGTGGGAAAAGAATGAATAAGATTTATCACTATTTTCGTAACATGACATATTCTCGATAAATGTAACTTGTTCTTGGAAAATGTCAGTTGTTCTAAGAAATTAGAAGTTGTTTTGGTCAATACTAATTGTCCGTGGTAAATGCAAGTTGTTATGAAAAGCACGGTCTTTTTAAGGGGTCATTTTTTTGTGTTCTTGTGTATTTCGGTAGACCATCTTAAACCAACTCTCAATTTGGTCAACCAAGTGAAAGTAATTATTACAATGAATTTAAATCTGTTACAACTGATAAGTTGTCTTACCAAGAGGGCATTTTTTTTATCGAAAAATAAGCATAATTACTGTATATTAAATTATTTTACCAATTAAAGGATTGTTTTAATACAAGTTTCGGCTGATCGAGAGTGCAACTTGGTTGATCAGACCTGAAAAAAAGACAACCGGTTCATCAGGTAAAAGAATTGAAGGTCCAAATCTTTGTGTTAGGAACGCGAATCTTTGAAGAGAAAATATAGCGAAGAAGACAAACGAATTTTCAAAATCAAAAGGGGAAAAACTACGGTGCTGCACTAGGCAATCTCTTCAGTATCAATATCAGTATCACATTTATAAGTTTCATGGTTACAACTACAAAAGATATTGCCCCGATATATGTAAGGAGTCTAATGGAAATAACATGTATGCCTTTAGCAGTAGTAAATAAAGCTCTATTCTATGTTTCTTATATGAAAGTTACATGTATGCCATTAAGAGTAAAAACTTTTCTCTTTAATATTACTTTCCTCTATCAACTTCACAATTCCATCAATCTCCCACTTGGATGTTGATCTTCAAAATGGCAATAGTCTTTCATAGTCTTCACGTCTTTGTTTCGTCCTAGTGCGGCAGCCCCCTTATCTCTAGACATGGAGGCCAACTAAGGCAATAATCACAAACTCAGTTTCTCAGTGGTGACAATCTTTATATTTATTGGATTTTCAACACCAAGAATCTTCTTCAATATCAATGTCTCATTATATATCAGCGGACAAATATGATGATACTTCAACTCATGTACTTTGTCTTTGAATGAAATATCGGGTTCATTGCAAGACAAATAACAATCTGACTATCACTGAAAAGAATACTGCTATCCCACTCTTTGCCTATCTCTTTCAAAGAAAATTTAAACCAAATCATCTCTCGACCAGCTTCAGATATGACAACATACTTTGCTTCAGTAGTTAAGAGAGACACAGACTTCTAAAGTCTAAACATCCAATTGATTGTAGTGCCACCTAAGGTAAAAACATAACACAAGGTGCTTTTCTTATTGTCCACGTCACCACCAAGATTTGCATCCACAAAGCCTTGTAAAGTTACACCATTTTTCATAAAACATAATGACATACTTGAAGGGCCTCTCGGGTATCTTAATAGCCAATTTATAGCTTTCCAACGCTTTATTCCTAAGCTAGCTATGTATTTGTTCACAACTCCCATTGCGTGAGCTATGTCTAGTCTGGTACACACAATAATATACACCACATTGCCATAGCTGACCCATAAGACACCTTAGCCATAGACTCTTGCTCTTCATCTGTCTTTGACGATTACATCTTCGAGAGCTTGAAGTAACTTTCTAAAGGAGTACTTTTAGGTTTTGCATTCTAAACTCCAATTTGTCTAGCACCTTTTTAATGTACTTTTCTTGAGATAACTTTAGAATTTCTTTGGATCTATTTAGTTTGATCCTCATTCCAAGAATTTGATTTGTTGCTCCCAAGTCCTTCATCTCAAACTCTTTTGGCAATTGTTGTTTTAGTATGTTGATCTCCATTATGCTAGATCGTGGAATGAGCATATTATCCACATAGAACATCAAAATAATATAGTAGTTATCTAATTCTTGAAGTAACAACAGTGATCCAATTCACATCTAGTAAACATATAACCGCACATAAATGTGTCAAATTTCTTGTACCACCATCTAGGAGCCTGTTTCAAGTCATATAAATTTTTCTTCAGGTTACAGACATAATTTTCTTTTCTAAGAACCTGAAAACCTCATGATTGTACCATGTAAATATCTCTAAGTTACCATGGAGGATTGTAGATCTAACTGCTCTAGAGTAAACTCTCAGCAACAATAATACTCAACACTAGCTTGACAGTAGTCGATTTCACAATTGGAGAGAAAATCTCTGTGTAGTCGATTATTTTCTTTTGTTGAAAACCTACCTTGCTTTGTATCTCTTGTTGCCATCAAGTTCTTCTTTGACCCAGTACACCCACTTGTTTTGCAATGCCTTCTTACCATTTGGTAATTGAGTTAACACCCAAGTTATGTTCTTCTCTAGTGAATCCAACTCATCCCACATTGCTAACTACCACTTAACATAATATTTAACTTGCATTGCTCCTAAATTTTTTTTATAATTCACCAACGTTGGTCAAAAGCAAATAATGCAATGATGAAGAATACCACTGTACATGTTTAGATATTCTACTAGATCTTCTTAGAGTGGGTTCAAGTGTATGTGAAAAATTTTAGGATTTCTAATTAGAACACTCTTAAAAACCCCATCCTTTTCAATTTCTCTAGTCTCCACCATTTGTTTCTTCACACTGGATTCTACCACATATATGTTCTTATACAACTTGTTTTCATTGAATGTAACATCTGTAGTTGTTATTATTATTTATTTTGTTCATCCCAAAACGTTAACCAAAATAATCATAACCATATTCTGTGAAAAAAAAATTATTTAGCTTTTGCATCAAGCTTATCTCTATTTTCAGAATATATGTGGACATACAAAACACAACAAAAACCTTTCAGATATGAGAGATTCACTTTGTTTCCACTCCAATTTTTCTTCTGGTAGCTTGAAATCAAGCGGAATTGAAGGTCCTCTGTTGATAAGATATGTTGCTATGTTAATTGCATTTATCAAAATGTCTTGGGTAATCCTACTTGCATCCTCATACTTCTTGCACGTTCATTAAGAGTTCTGCTCATCCTCTTAGCAATTCCGTTTTGTTGCAATCTGTTGGCAACAATTCTTGTCATCCTGATCCCATTCTCCGCACAAAATTGTCTGAACTCGTTTCTATCATATTCACCACCATTATCGGACCTTAGACATTTAATCTTCAAGGCAGTCTTATTATCCACTTTAGCTTTCCATCTCTTAAAAGTAGCAAACACATTATATTTGTTTTTCAAAAAAATAAACACATACCTTCCTTGTGGACTTTTCAATGAAAGTGACATAGTAGTGCGAGCTTCCAAGAGAATGCACACGGGTTGCCCCCCACACATCTATATGCACCAACTCTAATTTTCTTTTCTCTGGTTCTCTCCCAATCTTCAAAAAATTGACACATTTATGCTTGCCCAGAACACAATCTTCATATAGACCAATACCTATGGACTTCATATCAAGCAGTTTTCCCTTTGATGCTAACACCTTCATCCCTTTTCCCTTATATGTCCAAGCCTGCGGTGCCACAATTTGGAATTAGCTTCCGACTCAGCAACAACTATGATTTCTCTACTGCTTTATGTCATGTACAATGTTTTTGACTTCGTTACCCATGCTACGACTAAAGTACCTTCAATTATTTTCCAAGAGCTATAAAAAATAGTTATATATCCTTTGTTGTCTAATTAACTTATAGAGATCTTATTTCCATTAAGTCATAGAACATATTTGACATCATGCAACTTCCATTGATACCCATTAGTAGTTTTTATGTAACATCACCCGTTCTCATAATATGCAAAGGTTTATCATTAGCAAGATAAACCTTTTCAAACTTTCCAACAACAAAATCGTGCATTAATTCTTTGCATGAAGTAGAGTGAAGCAATGCACTTGAGTCTAAAATCCAAGACTCAATCCGACTGTCAATGCTCAAATTAAAGT